TTACAGATGGTGATTTCCTGACTTCAAATGGCAAGTTATTCCAGAGTTTTGGGGCTGCACAAGCAAATGCTCGATCACCTAGCGTTATTTTTGTTTTGATGTATTTTTTCTAACCTAAATTCTGATATCAAAGCTATAACCATTTGCTTAGAGCCAGAAGGATGTTTACTCAAATCTTTCCACTTTGAGTTAACGCCCTTCTGACTCTTAACAGATAATTTGATCATGTTCTGCATGATTGTGTTTTGTGTCATACGCAGCTACACATTACCACCTAATCACAAAATCAATTTCAAAGTGTGGATTTCAAATTTTCAATCTAATTACACAAATACATGTAGCTCTTTCAATACAAAAGACAATTTATTTTCCTTGAATCTTGATCAATTTTCCAAACATTTTAAAGATTGTATACACAATTCATGGTATATCAGACCTGTTTTAAAAAGCAATTTTTTGACAATAAACAGCGCTGAAAAGTTCAACATGTGCTCCACATATGTGAATAAGTGTTTTAGGCCAATCCAGACATGTACTGGTACTATGTTTATCTTCTTTGTTTGTGACCCAACTTTAAATTTACTTTAAAATCATATAGAAAATATAGTTTATTTGGATATAAATCCTTAAATACTTCCTTTTATTCCATAGTTTTAACGGTCAGTGCAAAGTGTTGGATTTTCCAAAAGATTTTTTTGTATTACCAGAACTGAGAACAGCATGAACATATATTTATTTTGAGTTCATAGGAAGGTCAAGCAGCTCTTGAGTTTGTGGTTCAGGTTCAGGGAATATGAACCTTTGTTTTCGTTGGAATATTGTCAATGAATAATTGACATTTAGAGAGAAGAAGAAAGAAGAGTATGATTACTGTAGAATTGGTCACTTGAACGAGAGCTGTTATATCAATCATATTGTCATTATTGATAGGAAATTAAGTATTGACTGAAACCAATACTGTGTGATGATACGAGTAGGATGTTGAACTCTGTAAAGTGATGTGAATTTACACTTGTAGCTTTCTGACTCTCACCATAACATACATAGGCCCTATAGGCTCTCAAATTTTCCTTTTGTAATCTTCAACAAATTCATAAGCATCATGTTCATTCTTTTATGGTTATATCTTTTCCAGGAATATAAAGGAGTATAACAATAACAAAGAATACAAGAAAACAAAGTACAATAATAAATACAATAACAGGAAAAAAGAAACCATCAACTAAATACCTGTGGGTTACCATAAGAGATCAAGTTTCTGAAGAAAGCTCTTGTCATTAGCTGATCAAATACTGGTCATACATAGCTCATGTATACATACATATACTACATAATACATTAAATATGTATGATGTTGTGAAATGTTTATTTGTTTCATAATTCATATTGACATAAAAAAAAGCTTTGTGTCAATTGGCTAATTGAGCTGATCATATTATTCACAGTTTCTCCACATGATATCATGAATCATTTTACTCTTTGATAAAAGTTATAAATGTTGCAATTGTTTGATTTTACGTCTAACAGTGACTTTTGAACAGAGCAGAGACAAGCTATGAACTTGAACTCACACTCAGAGTTCAACATGTGTATCCTAATTTCTAGACAATGTTTGCATAGGCAAGAATGTATTAGCACTGTGGGTGTGTGTGTGTGTTTAGAGAAGCACGGGCATGTTTTTGTGTACTAATCTTTCCCCATGCTCGGGATAGGTATATGAAGGCACTATATGTAATAGACAGCACAGTTACTCTTTTCGTATGCACCAGCAAAACAGGTCTTAGTCATTTGTGCTCAGGATTGGAGCTCATGTAAAGCAACTATCATAGAGGAACTTGCGCACTCTCATAACGCAGCGAGGCTCAATGTTGTTTTCCCACGAGTCGCATAGATATATCCCTTCTGAAACTTTCCCATGCAGTTGCGTCTGATAGTGGTACATCGATAGCATAAAAGGGATCTCTCTCTTCGAAGACACGCCATACATACGTTGGATATATGCCACACGCACTGTTGCTTCAAACTTCGCTCAAGTTCATGGATGCTTACTTCTGCCATTGTTGTGTAGAGTTTTTCTTGTGTGAATTCTTCTGGAGAATAAGTTGAATTCTATCGTGGATATTGTTGTTCCGATCGTAATTGTTTGTGAATATAGGATTCATTCATCTGTTGTGACTCTTCTCGGTAAGATTGATGGCTTGTTTTGATAATAATGCTTTGATATGACTAATTAAAATAGCTGGAAATGATATTTTAGAAAATCAATTTTTTACCTTTGCTACACATGTAGTTTATTATGAGGATACGCATTAGAATACATTTCAATCCTTGAAACAGTTATGGTGGCACATATTTCTGATTGTTAAACTTGTATTGTACTTGTACATGTGTAGCTACATGTACTGTATCTGTTTATCACATAAACTGAAACTCCATCCTGAAATTAATTTCTATAAATGGAAAAAATGAAAATGTGATAGTTATCATAGTACACATAGATATGATTGACTCACGTATTCATGTATTGGAATAATTCTTTTGAGACTAACCCTAACCCTATAAGTTGAATTTATTAGGCACCCCCCCCCCCAAAAAAAAAAAAACAACAACAACAGAGAAATGTGAAGTAAAAGACACTTCAAATTGCCTTGTGTTGTGTTCAATAGGTCTTGAATTCCAGAGTGAAAATTATTCCTTTCTCAACAAAGTTGCAGTAGCTCTTGGGCCTTATTGACGTTTTACCATTGTGGAATCAGATTTTTGTATTTATAACCCTTCTTCCTGTTGCCCCTCACATACATAGATTACCTGGTACATTGTATCATGGATCTCTGTATTATCAAGTTATTCCTAGATTATAGAATTTAAAGACTTGAGATTCATGTCATTCTGAGCATATTATGATGCATAAGGTATTGGGTTCTCCATTATATATTTCTAAATATGTCAATATATAGGCTCAAGTCTCTCCTCTCACCTTTTAATTTATTTTTTCTCTCTCACTTGACCTTTTCTTATGTATCCTCCCCTCCCCTGCTCCTCCTCATCTCTTCCTTTATCTATCCAACGCTATACTTTTATTTATTGTCTGTCTGTTCTTCCTCCTTCCCTATCCCTCATTCCCTTTTTCTCTTTATTGTCTCATCTCTCATCAATTTTTCTATTTTATCTTTTCATCCTCTTTATTTTTCTCCTCTTTCCATTTTCTCCCCCTCTATATACTTCCCTCTCTCTCTCCCTCTCTTTCCCTCTCTCTCTCCCTCTCTCTTTCTCTCTCTATTTCTCTCTCTCTCTCTATCTCTTTCTCTCTATCTCTCTCTCTCTCTCTCTCTCTCTCTCCCTATATTTCCCTTTCTGGAGAATTTATAGCGTCACATGGCTATGGAATTAGACATTAATTGAAGACACTATAGTATAGGTCAGGTGATTAAGGGGAATGCATTCTACATGCATGTAGTTTAGAGCTAGACAGTGAAGACGTATAATAAAGTACACGCTCCTGTAGTTTTTACCGATAGGCTCTATTTACTTTTAGTTTCATGGGAACATTAACGTTGAAATGGTGGATGGCAGATAGGAGGTTGGAAATATGGTAGTTATTATTTAAATAATCACCATGGTCTTTAATGATTCTTTTTTTTCTTCTCTAAATAATTTTACTTTATGTAAACAGTGAAGTATACTGGTACTACTGTATGTATTTGATATCATAATAAAAACTGGTTTGATTATAAGTTTTGTATTTAAAGTAGAATATAAATAAACTTGTTCACCTATCATATTTGTATCATCAAACCTGTTATAGTGACAAATCTCTATTTATAGCACAGTTGGGTTTAGTGTGCACAGGTCTTTACACAGTAAAATCCCTTAAAACCACAGATGTCCACAACTAATTCACCAAGGCTATTTTCTTGAAATTAACTTGGAGCTTTCAGAAATTTCAAACATAATTCAGTTACTTTGTGGCATGAAACTCTCATGAATCTGGGCCCTGTTTCATAAAAGTTATTATCAATAACAAGTGTCACATTTTTGTAACAAATTTGCTTTCAGCCAATCAAATGCAACTATTTGATTGGAATGTGGAATGGTCTTCCCCAAATCCTTCGCTCTTGTCACCAGTTATCCACTTTCAAAACTCAACTAAAGACATACTTATTTCAGATTGCTTTATTAGTCACTGCCTTTGTCTTTCCTAGTTAAAATCATGAACCAACATTTTTGGTAGTTTTGCTGTCTCATCAGCGCCTTTAATTAAGCAACTACATATTGGCGCTTTATAAATACCTGGATTGGATTGGAACTATTTCAGTGGCTTATAACAGCTATTGCAACTTGGTACTAATAACAGGTTTTATGAAACAGGCCCAGGACAACTTGTGAAAGCTTCCAGTACTTACGATGCATGTGTTGTAGAATCTGGATAAAATTCCCATGTATCTACTGTGGATAATTTAAACGTTTGCATTGAATATCCTTTGTATACAGGTTAGAAGATAGTTTCATCCATGATTATTCCATGGTTGACAGTGTGACTGTGGACATACTATCTACTACACCCCCTAGCCCTTCTCCCCTGGCTGTATTACTAGAATTATTGATTTCTTCAGACTACTACTCGTACTACCCCCTTGCACAGGATGTGTCTGATTTAAGAGTTCCCCCATGTTTTAGCTCACTCGGCCGTAAATAGATGTCGATTTAAGCTCAGATTTTATTTTTGGAGCGTCACCGTCATTTTCTTATCATTTGAATGTAGTGTGAATCCACAGTGGTGACAAAGGTTTACCACGTGACCCTTCGTCTTCCCCCAGGAAACTCCATGTGCGCCATCACTTCCCATTAAGTAAAGCTTGGTTAAGCATAACCTCCCTTTTGCTTAAGATTCTTTTTAATAAGCTCGCTGAGACTATAATATTTTTACTTAGTATGAAGATAATTCTGACAGAAAAACTATTTTTAAAACTCATCTTTCATCTTTGGTTTGTTTCTTGCAGATCAGAGTACCTCTGTCACGTATGTACTGCAAACAGGTGAGAGGTTGGGTACTGAGGAGATGCCATTCTAGACCAGGTACCTAAAGAAGGAGAGACCAGAAACGACAGGATGACGTTAGTAGTGTTTCAAGAAGGGGGTCAACAGCCATCGACTTCAGGACACCAATGCAGAGCAGGAGGAAACAGAATGGCTAGTGCAGGACAGTCTTCAAAGCCAGAGATGCACAGCAGGGCTGTGCAGACAGGCTTTCCTCACCCCTCTGATAATGCCAATCTGCATCACCCACACCAGCAACTGCCCATCTGTATCTGTGGGCAGGCTGGGGAGGGGAACTGTTGGTGTGAGAGCCTGGGGTTCCTGAAGGACCAGGAGTTATGCAGGGTTGTCCTGCAGAAGGGATGCCCAAGATCTAGGTTTGCCGTCCTGCTCAGCATGCATGAGGAGTTCTGCAAATCAGCCAGGGGAGATCAGATCATCAATACAAGGAGACGAGGAAGTGCCCATGGAGACATCAGGGTGAAGCGCTCTAAACTCGCACCACCGCCAACACTGCCACGGCCCAGAGCTCAAAGTGTGATCGTCCAAAAAACCAGAGCTGCCAACAGGCTCAATGAAGCAAACACCAAAAGAAGTCCTCAAGTATCTGTGAAGCCAAAGAAATCTGTGGATCCTACTCGCCAAGGGCAACAAAAGCAAGATGGCAAAGGAAAGTGTAGTGCCAGAGTCCTACCTAAGAAGGATCAACAGTTTAAAAAAGAAAAAAAGTGCCTTGAAAATCATGCATTGTCAAATGGCACTGCATCCAAAAAGGAGAGCAGTGTTGCTGAAGAGGGAGGTAATTTGGACCAAACTAGCTATGTGTCTAAGGCATGGCTGTTATTTACAGGGTGTGAGAATGGGAAGAAAACCAAAGATTCTGAAGGATCAAAACCTGAAGCATTGTGTGATGATCATCATCATAACAAGGAATCTATTAAAGGTTGTTCTAGTTCTGTCTCTGACACTAAGAGATTGAATAACCAAGCAGCTCATCTTGAAGGGTCCTCCCAAAACGATAGGAAAAAAGATGCAGAAAAGGTTAATAGGATCACTGGACTTAGTGTAAGCTCGAAGAGAAAAGTCACAAACAAATCTGAATCAACCTCAACGTCAACTGAAAACTCAAACAAATATGCCAACCGTTTGAAAGGGAGAAGATCAGACAGTGAATCTCTGCAAACATCCGACGTAGCACAAAGAGGTGGAAAGCCTGATTTCAGTGATGAGTGTGACCGCACTGCCCTCTTGGACAGTGTAACAATAACCAGTGATGATGAAACTGAGACTAGTGTCTCTGGAGCATGTCGTCTTGATGCGCAAGATGGTATCAGCGAGGGAGAACTGTCAATGTTTGCTTCCTCAACTCTAGGAGACCCTTGCATGTCATTGATGAACAGGAATATAAAAGATTTGGACCACAGCTCTGAGTTAGCTGGCAGCGAGCTGAATGAAAGATTAAAAGGCAATTGGAAACTGGATGGCTCCTTGACAATACCTGTTAACGGAAGTGATCATGTGTCTTACCGGGATAGTGGAATAGGTAGTAGTGGGTCTGTTTGTGAATCAAGACTCAGTGCAACTCACAGTGTCATGGTAGAGGATAAATCTGAGTCAGAAGATGGCATGACCAAAGCAGAGGCAAAGAATTGCCACAAGCCGGACTCTCTGTCAGTTGCCTTCAGTCCACCCCGTGCGTTCAAGGAGGGGGAATGCAATATTCCATCTGAGGGAACCAACAACTCACGGATGGCACGCTCTTCTCTGCTCAGACCCGCACAAGGAAGTTCATGTTCTGAATCCACTCTGCAGGTCGAGGATGATTATTTGCTTGGTGCATGTGCAATTGTGAAAAGGGACCATTCTGTTTGCAATGAATCTAACTTATCTTCGGAAAGAGATGGAATCCACACCACGTCCTCGAAAGACAAAGCTGTTCAGGGTAATTGCCAGTCGCCTGCTGCCAAGGAAGAGGATTTCTCTTTCATTTCATCTGTCATCGTTATTGAAGATAAAGAAACATCTGAACAATGCCTTTCCATATCAGACAGTAAGTCATGCAAGGTCGAAGGCTCTAGGCCAGTTGATGCAGAGCATTCACATATGGTACAGCTTCACATAAATGTAGATCTCAAAGGAAAGCACGATGCCCAAAATAAATTGAAGAAGGATAATATAATTTTGAAGAAAGGTGACAGAATTGTACATCCGAAAGTGAGCAAGAAGTCAGAGAATGAACGAGCCAAAGAACGCAAACACCAGAGAACGATGAACCCTCGCAAGGTTGGCATCTTGAAGTATCTCATTTGCCAGAGCCCGCTCATTCTAAGTGACTTGAATGACAGTGACTATGAAGATTCAGAAAGTGAATTGGAGGATTTGTCATACAACAAGGAAGATCAATTTGCCACGATGCCAGTTGAGATTGTCCTCAAAATTTTCAGAGAACTTCGCACACGTGATCTTTCTCAGCTCAAGTTCACCTGCAAGAACTTTTACTGGCTGATCACAAGGTTCAACATTATAGGAGTTGACTCCAAGTGGGTGGAGATGGACTCGTACCGCAACGACCCCTGCATGCAGTGCGGTAAGGTGAGGGACAGACGGGGCGATGTTTCGCTTTGCTACTGGCATCCCAAGTACTACTATAGAACAGGGAACGGACGACACCACTGGACATGCTGCCTCAACACCAGCAAGGATGCTCCAGGATGCTGTGAAGGTCTCCATGACAACAAGTGGACGACTTCTAAGGTGATGAAGCGAAGCATCCCTCGGCAGTGGAGTAGTAACATGTGGCATCTCTGTCCTCACAAGGTCAACATGGAGCCATGAAGGCATCTCTGCCCTCACAAGGTTAACATGGAGCCATGAAGGTATCTTCTTTTTGTCTTATGCTTCATATCATCTCTTTGGATCCAAAAGGGTGATAATTCTGCGTAAAATTGTCTGAGTTATCGCCCTTCTGGCTTCAAACGGACGGTATCATCTGCTACAAACCATACAGGCATTGATTATTTCATCTCATTAATATTGAGTTTAATATTGCCCGTTTGGTTCTGAGCAGATAACATTATCTACTTACTGTACGTAGTTCTAACATATCTTCAGGCCAGCTCATGGCCTTGTAACTACTCACTCTCAGGAAAACTGGAAAAGTCGCTCCGCTATGACACAAATAGATTACATATTTCACTCTAAATGCAGACTATTTATATGAAGGTTAAACTCATTTTGTTCAGCCATTTTCAATTTCTCGTCTTTTCCAGGTTGGAAAGACATTTTATACTGCCCTCTTTGTCCACATATGGGTCTTTCTCTATGTTGTGCGAGTCTATTTTTTTTAAAACTTTAAACTTTGTGTAATTTACACTGCACACGTCCATTCTGAATGCCACATTGCCTTTTATATATCAACTCATGTTATTAATGTATGTTTGTAAACATACTTATGATTGTAAAAGATTTGTAAAACTTGTAAGATTGTCAACAAATGGAAAATCCCATTAGAAACGTACATGTGAAGTATGTGATATGTTTTTATTTTATAGATTTAACTGTTTAATGTTATTTTGAAGAGTTTTATTTTTCATTTGTTTGCTTTCTTGTATAAACATCATATAATGAAATAGGGAATTTATATATGATAACCTGCTGGTACAACAGATTTATCTTTAAAACTATTTGCATCAATGAAACCAACTGATAGAATACATGTACAGACATCATGATCATATATCTACACAACCATTTTATCACTCCACAATATCCTATTTCAGACATATAATGTATGGTACATGTACATGTGCACATCCAAATATAGTTTTTGGATTACTCACAGTCTCACACATTACACATACTTCTTTGAATTTCATTTGGCAGAAATCACATGCTCATCCTTCCTGATATTTAATGAATAGTTGGGTTTTTTTTATTTTAAAAATTCTGTGTGTATGATTCGTCATGATTTATCAGAAAAACAAGGTTTCCATGTTAAACTGGTCATGTGAATTGTCCACTTTGTTAGGGTAACTTTGGCAGCATAGCTCCAAACCGGATCGTTTCCCTCTAACGCATCCTGTATTGAAGTCGGACCCGATGTACATGTACGTGTAAAAACCGCCCATTTCCTCTAATCAGAGAGCCATGACTAATTCATGTACAAGTCAGAGAAAGCGCTTTGCCTACTGCTCACACATTGCCTTCAATACATTGATCATATACTGCCTACCTGTGAGGTATTGCCTCTAGTCACTGAGCATGGTTGTCAATTAAGACACCGGTATACAAATCTTGAGGTAATTTAGAGGTCACCTAATGATATTCATATGTAGGATCAATGTTCAGAGTCAGAAGGGTGTTAACTCTGTGTTTAATATGAGCTAATGCCCTTCTTGTCCCAAACGGATAAACAATATCCACGTATTGGTCACCTTGGCTTTAGTGCTGGTATCATTGATAAACAGGTGCATCAGCAATATTGCAATCAGGGATCTGCTTTGCTACCCCTGGGTCCAGAGAGGCAGTGGGATTAAATGCCTTCTCTCAAAGCATATTTTGCATTGGGCCATAATTGAAACTTTCATCTGCTTGAATGGATTTGAATAACAGAAATTTGTCCAATTTACCACATAGACCTACTTGTTATCTTACTTTTTTTCCCAATGTGATATTGCTTTGCATATGTTTAACATGATAATTTAATACTCTTTTATATTCTATACTGATTTGTAATAATATATTTTGCTCTTTCTTGTAATTATACTGTTCTACTATTATACTAACACATGATAACTGAATCCCTACAAATTTGTGAGCAGAAAGTTCAAATCAGGAAATGGGAATCACAAAAAAAAAGAATAGAAACAGCTTATAAAGATTAATGAACTGGATATATGGGTGAACAGAAATACATGTGATAGATCTAAACATGAATGTGTACTTCTTGTGGAAGGGCATATGGTTTTGCAAAACATTCTTTTTGCTTCTCTTTTATGAATTACAAGTCAGAATCAAGGTTCCCCCATAAAAGTGTTTGCAATGTTTTTTGCAGAAAATATTTTATTGATCTTGAAATGAATGCAAGCAAGAGCCTAGCAGTAATAAGCTTCTCAAGAAGTCTGCCCAGAAAGTCCAAATCAAACCGGCTTCTAAAAAATTCAGGATAGGATTTATATTTAGCCGAGGTTATGGCGTTGAGTAATCTGATCTGAAAAACTGAAGAAGGCCTCTCCAAGACACTCCAATCTTTTCCAATGCAGCAGTAATGCAGTTAACGTCCTTGCCAGAATCTCTTGAATTGTCAATGGAAAGCCAAATTCTTGTTGATTAAATTACATGTTTCTATCAGATTTGGGTTGTCCAAAGAAAATACTGAAAATTTCTTTTGATCCTGAAATTTCATTATTATTAGTTTCTTACATAGAATATATAAGATTTTATGTACCAAGCTTGCAAATGGCCTGAAATCATTTTTGTTTTAAATGTCATGTCAGCCATACCTACACAGTGTATTTCCTCAGAAATGTTTATATTCTCTCTCGAAGTATAAGTTTCTTTTGAATTTGAAAAGTACTTCCACTGGTTGATTTCTTAATACAGCAGTCATTCGCATTTAAATGTTCCACGTCCTCAATTCCTGTATTTTAATATGTTACACATCAAATCTTTTCCATAGTAGCACTACAGTGTAGCAGCAATATTAACTAAATGTCATGACTGCCAAACCTCTTCTAAGACTTCACAATTCCTTCATTTGAAGTCAAGTTTACATTGATTCTGTCACATCTTTATGGATGATTGCAGTATACAGCAGCAGTCATTTGCATTTGTTATGTTGGCCCATGTTTGTTTGTTTGTGTTATTATCTCTTATATCTCATAGTTGTTTTTGTTGTAAGGGTTATGCCAACATGGCAGCCAAACCTATTCATTCAGAGTTACAGGGGCGTATTTTTGATTTCTCAAAACGAAAGCCAAGTTTTGTTTTGATTGTCCAAGGCCGTCATGGATAGTTTCTCTCCGCCTTGTAGGCTGTAGGCCATTGCTATTGATAGATCCTTTACCATTTCGTCCTGTGCGTCTTGGAATGATGTGTAGAATATTGGCCGATATTCAATGTGTAAATTATTTGTTCCTGTATGAAGAGTTGGATCTAGATATCAGGTCAAAGTATGCTGTGAATTATCCTTCTGTTTGAGGATGTCAGTCTAATCTTGGTTGTTACCAAAGTTTCTTTTCATTTAGCGTGAGAAAAATACTTCTTGTCACGGAATGAAATTCCAACCTTGTTTTTGTCACGGCATCATGGTTTATATGTTTATACAAGAACAATTATAACTGCTGTGCTTTCTGTGTAGCCATAGAGATGCATGCTATCATCCTGGTAACACTAATTGAGGAAACCTTTTTATGTTCTTCTAAATTATTTAAAGATTGTCACACAATTCATATTTGAAGCAAAATGTGTGCAGCCTACTAATAGGCAAAATTCACCAGCCCATGTCCACTTGCCACTTCATTAAACTTGATCTTTGTTACAGCAACATTTGCTTGTTTTTGAATTTATAAGTATTTACCAACAAATTATCTTTAATTTGCTTGAGGTCTCCAGCAACATAAGCGCAAAACAAATCATCTTCATCTGTTTTTTTTCTTTGGGAAACAAGACCAAGATTTCTCAGGATATTTTCTCGACCAAATATCCCGCTAATTGCAACTGCGGTCGATTTGTGATCGAGATATTTAAAATAGCGGGTTATTTGGCAAACTCGAGCTGATGAAGGCAGGCCTATTGTATGGCAATGGCTTGAGCCAAATCCTTGTCTCCTTGCATAATATATACCCTGTCCTGTCCTGTCATGGGATGGACTCCAATGTAGAACTTTAATATAACGAGGCATATGAATTGAGTTTATAAGCCAGCTTGATTTAATACTGTGAGTGTAAGCAGCTGGGACACACGACTAACCCTGACCCCTATCTACATGGCTATTATACTCATAAAACCATGCCAAGTTTAATGGCAAAACCAGAGACAAAAAATAGACAGTTTGCTTTTTGTTATTTGTCTAACTGTTGGAAGGTTAGATACATTGTATACTATAGAAGCCTTTTTGGTTGGGGGGGGGGGGTCCAAGTCTGATTTCCCCATGTTTAGCATCTGATCTGATCAAAACTGAGACGTGAGTTCTCGACCGTATCTGAAAAAGCAGATTGTTTAAGCGTTTTCTTCATAGAAAGGTTACCAAAATTATCAACAGTGGCAGCCCTAACTTGAAGCATGCGCATGAGAATTGGGGGGGGGGGGCCTGCCAAAATATATATTTACTAGGTCATTCACAAGGAAAATTGCAACTAACCTTATTAGTATGGATTTAGGAGTCCCTGTACTAATTCTTCAAAACTATTAATATTAGGCCTTGTGTTACATTACTGTACAATAAACAATTTTGGGAAAGTGACAGCTTTCTATTTTTATTTCCCTGTATGTCTATCATGATTATTCATCTATCCTGGTGAATGTTGTGGTCTAATTCAGGGCTTTCAGGCACATGTTTATAATATTCATTCATTTCATTGAAGATAATTTGAGGCAAACATTTTTTTGAGATTTGATTTTCAAAAGAGGTATCGAGACAGGTATCAGTTTTTCAATATATAAGCCTGATCTGAGTAAATAGAATTTTCATCAGTAGAAAAAGTTTCATTTCCCCATTTAGGGTGCCTGTAGGAAGTGTTGAGGGGCTCCTGTCTATTTATAGGCCATCATAAATCAGCGATTAGAGCTCACTGATATTTTAAAGTCAAATGTGGAATTTGAGGAATACTGCTAAATACAGGGGTAGGGGAACAAAATGAGGCCCTTTGCTTATCAATATTTGGCTTGTGAAAACATTATTCTATGTATGTTCTTAAAATAGTCATCTTATGATAACATGTGAAATTTTCTTTATGAATAACAAAAAAAAATGGATGCATAACTTTTTTTTTAAGTGCATGTGCTTGAATATGTAACAAAATGAAACCTTAATAATGCAAGGAACTTCGTACATTTCTTGGATTAATTAGAAATTGAGTAAAACAAAACATGAAGGGCCCCTATCTCTCAACCCTCTAGTTCCATAATCATATCTAACACGGTTTACATAGATATTGTGCATTATAACAGTACAACAAGGAAGGAATTTAAGGCATGCAAATACTGTACCAGGGCATCTAAGGAATGCAATTGAATGAAATGTTGCAAATATTCTTCGGAATGTAAGACCTACATCCACATGAAGGAAAGCAAGGAATACAATGTAGGCTTTATGAACAACGCTTGATCAGTCTACTTGAAATGGCAATCTATTAAAGAGTGTTCTAATTTTACAGGAATGTGACTCTGTTAATATTCTAAAAGGGGTAATATATTGTCTTAGTTAACAAATATTGTTATTATAACATACATGTAAGCTAAGATCAATCCATACCTAAGACCAATCTTCAACTGTATTGTCTAAGCTGATGTAGTTCTGATTATAGGCATTGAAAACATCAGCTGATACAGGGCAACTACACATGTACTGATGTCAATGCTGAATTTGAGTATTACATTGTCTGATTTTAGTA